ATATTATTCGACGTTTTAAAGGTATTTTATAAAATAGTATGGTGTAGATTAAAACTTATTTTGACTTTTCCTCCCACTTCGGCGTCACAAGCTGAATTTTTCAGGAATGAAAGTACATGATAAGTTAACCTTTATACCGGAGGAATACAAAATTAACTCTGGCAAAAGGGTACAATTAGGTATTTGTAGGAAGTATGTTTTATAACTATTTAAAAAAAAAATCATTTGCATTAGCCCTTATTGTCGAAAACAAATTTAAACGTAAATATCTCGGTTTCAACCGTCCACAAATTTTATAAAAATCTTCTTTTAGAAATATACCTTTAATTTGACGAAAAACGAAGGCCTAAATGAAAAAAAATATTTTTCATAAAAGTTTCGCCTGTGTATTGACAAGTTAAGAGTGCTTTCCACATATTTTTTGCTTTTAAATTAACAAAAATATAGCAATAAACAATTAGTGATGTCATGGTTTTACAGAAAAGCAAACATTGACTCTCTATGAGTCTCTAGTGCTGAAATGTATGCAATCAGTTTGACTCTCTTACATTATTTTATATAGGGATTATTGATTTATCCGCTATGAATAATGTTTTATAGGGTGTATTAGTTATACTTTGATTTTTTTTTATTTTTTGAGGAAAATAAAAAATATGAAAATGTAAACTATTTATACATTATACATAAGTACAGATTATAAACAGTAAGGCTATTGCTTTGTAAAATACAATAAATTCCCAATATAAAAAAATTATAATAATTAGGAAGTTCATAAAGCATAAATTAATAATATTAAAATATATTAGTAGTGTCCGATTACAATTAGAAGAACATAGCTACGTCATCATTTAGCAAAGTAATTAATTGGTTATGGTCGCCTACTGGAGGTTTAGTGGAGTGTTAATATTATAGGAAATATTGTTTTATACCTAACAACTTATTTATTTTTTTATTTATTGATAGTTATAAATATTATTTATTCGAAATTCGAAGTAATGGTTATGACGTAGCGGTGTTCTTCTAATTGTAATCGGACCCTACAAGACTTTAAAACTAACCACAATCAGACTCACCACACGAATCAACATTTTCCAAAACATTAGCGTCTGTGGTCAAATTATTTCTGCAGTTTTTCTGTGCCATACAGGTGCAGGAACCGATACTGCCAATATTTTTTTTCCTGCATTTGCAAATTTTGTTTCCATAGTCTAGAACACAATAATATTGTTAAAATATTTTACGTCTATGAAAATTATCGGTGTTTAGTGCCTTTTTGCATTTGCGTGATGTGAGTTCTGTTATGTGCGTTGGCAGGTCGGGCAGAGTCTTAAGAGTGGGTATCAGACTTCCATCTTGATTTACTTTCCATCCATATTCTTCAGCATTAGGAAGCTGCATCTGCGGCTTTAAAGAGCTTAGCCAAATATGTAGCTGGAAAAAACATCTTAAACAATGTAATCTTAGAACGTCTTCAGTCGGTGGCAATTTAGCGATGGTGTTTGAAGAGGCCATTAATCCCCTCAAAATGTTAATGGAAGTAATATTGGCAGTTTTTGAATAAAGTTTTATGAAAAATGTTTCAAGGTGATGGTGTTCAAGGTAGGTTTTCTAACAGGTTCTTTTCCCAATGCCAGACAATTGGCTGGTTGTATAACAACTGGTCAGAGAATGAAAAGCAGGCAAATTTTAGAAGGTTTTCATCCAGATTTAAATCATTTAAATCGTCTTGAGTCTTCTCGCCCTGTTCTGACCCATATCTCTTTAGTCAAAAACGTCTTAAAATAAATTAATGAGACTAGAACATCTGTATCGTTGCAATCAATTATTCAGCGTGAATGCCCGGAATTGTTGGCTGTCAATATGTGCAATAAGATAAGAGTATCAGCTTCTTTGTGATTTGAATTTAAGAAATCCTTTTGATGGTTTAAAATTCGTCCCATATTTATTGATATTCGTGAATCCACCACTAGTTACAAATTGAATATGCTTTTGCTGAATGGAATTTTCAAGAAGGTACTCTGATAGAAAATTTGTTAATGTCTTTTTTTAAATATCGAATGAATAAACAATTGTTAGGGAAGTGGAATATTGGGTCTGTCAATTTCTATATCAATTGATTTCTGGGATCCTCTCTTTTGACGTGTTGTATTTTTTATAGAATGTTCTTTATAGTGATCAAATACCACATCTATCCTTTGAGCATTAAATTTATTTATAAAAATAATGTTAACAAATATATTAGCATATTCTTTAAATGATATGCAACTTTTGGGCTTTCCCAAACCCAAACCAAATTTTAAACGAAAACTTATAACTTACCCAAATATATTCATATTCAACTGGATAAATGTAGATATAATAAAAACGCAAAAATGTCTATATTTCTTCCCAATTTATTAGGTACTAAAATAATATATAACACATACACTAATTAATTCTTTAGTTAAAACATTGTCCATTGGCACCTAACGAGAAGTTTTATAATAAAAAAATGAAAAAAATCTTACCATATCAAAGTGGTAATGCTGTAACGAATACATTAAAATTTAATGGACGTTAAAAATATAACGTATGTTAAATATGAAAAGCAATTCTGTAAATTCATGAAAAATTTTAACTTGTCATAATTAACATAATAGTTCATTTGTGCCGCAAAAATCTATTTTATAAACAGAAATATGTTAAAAATTTAATATAAATATGTTATTTTATGCGTTAAAAATAAACGTATTGAATTACAGAATTACCTACCACTAAGAGCGAAACAGAGCTATAGTACGTTTGAAGGCGAAAAGAAAGATACACTGAGAGTCGATGAAATTGGCGGTGAGAATTAATTACAGCGTAAACCTATGACATCTCTCATCGTTTATTATTATATCTTTATTAATTCAAAAGCAAAAATATGGTGTTTATATCTTATAAAGAATATTTTTTCCTTTAAGCCTTCCTTTTTTGTTAAATGAGTGGTATATTTAAGACGACTTTTTAACCAAATTTTTGAAGGGCTGAAACCGAGATATTTACGTTTATATTTTTTTACGGCCGTAAGGGCTAATGCAAATGATTTTTTTTAAATAAGTATGAACAATTACTCCCTACAAAGATTTTATTGTGCATTGGACCAAAAATGAGTATTTTTTTCTCTTTTCGGCGGTATCAATATCTGGATTTTTGATGATAGTGCCCTTCTGCACAGTTTAATTTTGTATTACCTCCGGAATAAGGGTTACCTTATCATGACCTTTCATCTCTGAAAAATTCAGCTTGTGACAAAAGAGTAGGAGATAAATCGTTTTCTAGAGCGAATATTTTAATACATACACTAAAAGTTACATCAAATCGGAGTTCGTGGAATTGCATTAAATTAGTTGAAATCTTTTAGATGGAAGTAAGATTTGGGGTTCCTCAGAGTTCGGTACTTGTTCCAGTTCTTTTTTACAATATACATTAATAATCTAATGATACAACCATCGACTTGACATATTTTAAGTTTCGCAGATAATACTGTAATATTTTACTAGGCTGACTCTTGGAGGGACCTCAAATTAAATTCAGAAAACGACTTTAAGGATTTAAATCAGCTGGTTTAATAAGAATTAACTTTATGAAAAAACTAAAACCATTTTGGACTTTCCAATTTTAGACCATTAAAAGTGTCAAATAGTATACACATTCCATAATCTATAAAAAAGAGACTTGATTCTTATCAATGCTCTCACAATTTACCAATTTGAAAGTTAATGGCAAGTTTGATTTTTGTTGATAATACTTCATAACCATATTAATCACAAATTAGAATATAGCTAAAAATTGGTATGTTGATCCAATTCGATGTCTTGATGATCCCTTTTCAATAGCTTCCGGGTTATCTGTTTAGAATTTTTTTAGGGATGTTTTTTTGAAAAACAGTCGGTCTTAAATGAAAAATTCTTGTCCAGTCTACATATAGAGGATATTATTAACAGAAAACCCCGTGAGAGTAATACACTAGTATTTATAATTTACCCTCTAGAGAGCGTCCTGAAGAGAGACATGTCTTGTTGAAGGCCACGCACGCTCCCATGTTTTGTACTGCCTTCATTTCGGGTCGAAGGAATGGACGTATTGAAATGTTTCAGATACCGGATTGTACCTAAATAAATACGTTATACAATAGTTTTTTGTTCGAGTTGATAGCTTAATAATTAAGGAAATGGCGAGCTTTCAAAATCGGCTAATGATTGTAAATTTCGTCAAAGTTACCTCTATTTTTTTTTCAAATATTGTATTTTAAATGGTCAATAAAAATATTATTATTATTATTATTATTATTATTATTATTATTATTATTATTATTATTATTATTATTATTATTATTATTATTATTATTATTTGGTTAATTTTCTTTTAACCCCATTATAAAAAAATGCTTTGCGACAATCAGTCAGAAATTTAGTCTAGATCATGGTCGCCAAAGGGTGTATTTTTAATGCCAATACTGTATGACTCAAACGCGATTAAAGGTCGTAGGTCAAGAAATTTAAAAAAAAAATAAAGTTGTAGAGCGCTGAAGTTTGGCAGGTATACTTAAATGCTTTGATGAACATATCCGAATTTTAATCAAATAAGTATTTAATTAAATGAACCTTAAAGTGTACTGTTTCAATAAATTTATATTATAAAATCGATATAAAATTACATTTAAAGTTTCCTTTTAATATTGAAGCCTCCTTTGAGTTGATGAAATTGGTCCTAAATACTGTGGCCTCTTTCTTCCCACCCTGTATATTTCTAAACGAAGTTTTTGTTTATATATTTGTTATTTATTTAAATTAATACGTTGAAAAATATCCATATTACAAACTATCGACGCGATAAATATGTATAAATATAAATAAAATCGAACAAAATGCATAGAAAAACATTGAAATCATTTTTAACACAATATTAATAAAACTTGTGATACAACGGTCAAACATCATTGACTTCGCATAACAATTGTTTATCTTTCTTATCAGATCGAGAGGGAAGTACGTCATAATTCAAAACCAACAACTATTCTACACACTTTAGACAAAATCATTCTGCGAAAAAGTGATAACATTAACGATGTTACTGATGGCTGCACGTCCACGCGAATATGGTAACAGTGATAGTGATAATAAACTCGTTTCTCTTTAAAAACCTTACAACTTATTTAAAATACAGTTTTATACGTTTAACCCTACACTAAAAAAAAAAAGAATGTAACAGTATAAGTGAATTATTTACTAGTGTATAATATAAGTAAATATTAAATAAGAAACCAGTGGCTGTGATATTTATTAGGAACCTTGTTTTTTTGTTTCGTCAAATAATCGAAATATGTGATTATGAGTACCGCTAATTTGGTACGAACGAGAAGCGGTTCGATATCTTCGACCGCCGGACATGTTTCTAACTGGTTTTCGTCACTGAAGAGGGTGAAAAAGTCGAAACAGAAGCAGGACAGGACGTCTAAGAGCGCTTGGGATTTGTCTACGTTGTCGCATGGAATCAAAAAAGTGGTATGATATTGTATATATATTTTATTTTGTAGTAAATTACAGTTTATTTTTTCGACAGTGTTGTCAAATTACTGACTGGAATAAGAACTATGTTTTATTATAAATTATTGAAGTAATAAATACTAAAGTCAAAAATATTCAGATATATAGTTGAATACTTTTGTAGACAGTAAAATTTGAGGAATGTGTAATGGAATACTGACATCTGTCACAATTTATGTCACAAATTATTTTTTTCTACGTTCATGCAAAAAACAAAACTTTATTGAACTATATTTAGTAAAAAAACTGGGATTTTATTGCACTTATCTGTCATTTTGCTACAGCATTTTATGATCATGACAAACATAAATATTCAAATCAACGCCAAATATTTAGTCCATTTTCATTTTCTGTGTTACGTTTTAAAAACAATTTCATATTTTATATTATTTTCAAACATTTAATAAAAAAAATTAATAAAAAAATGTGTGGGGGGTGGGTTGGCTCAGTGGTTAGAGTCATGACTTTGAGATCGGAAGGTCTCAGGATCGAATCCCACCGTTGGCCGGAATTTTTTCATTTAATTTAATTATTTAAAATTAATTCTGATGCCTTGGTAGGATTCCCCACTCGACCATTCACTGTTGGGTTCTAATTAACAGTGCTGTTCCTAAAGTGGCGCTGGGAAACAGTAACAAAGCCTACACAGAACACGAGGCTAATGGCCGTAGTAGTCGACGCCAATGACACCAATAAAAAAAAAAAAAAAAAAAAAAAATGTATTTTATTAAAAATGTCATTACAAATTATGAACACAAACGTAAATAAATGCCTCAAACAAAGGTACACGATCACGGCTACTTTGATTTGTTTTTTTTGGTTTTTGCATGAACGTAGAAAAAATATTGTATGCAACTCGTGCAAAAAGTGTTTATTGCACTCGACAATTTCACGTCGCGTGCAATAAACACACATAAATAACTATTAAATTTTTAGTTGAAGTACAAGTAATTAATTGTTGGTACATTTCTACACCGCCTCAGTCATATATTACCGCATTATCAAATAAATACAGGGTGGTCCGTGACTAATAGCACATACCGTAATGGAAGTCGCGGAATTTTGTTCGAACTATTTTTTTTTCGAAGGAATTTTCTTCGAAAATATTTTGTTTGAAAGTTATTTACCTCAAACACATTTTGCTTGAAAATAAATTTCCTCGGGACACATTTTGTTTGAAAGTAATTTTCTTCAAATTCGTTTTTAATCGAAAACAATTTGTTCGAATACTTAATTGCTTGAAAAATGCATATAAAGCTTATGATTTCATGTAAAATATATTAAAAAAATATAAATATTTTCCCATTATTATAATTAAAATAAAAAAAACTAATTTACCTAAAAAACCTTTGGCTTCAGAGGGATCAAACATATGCAAACCAAAATATAACTTGATTGATATGGGCTTAGTATGCATCAATGCATTTCTCATACATACCGATGCTGCCTAGAGGTGTATATGAAGATTTGAGAACGGGTCTGAAATGACGTCCGGCCCGAACTTGTACATAAAATTGCTGTTTAGGAATCTTCCTGATTAATTTTTAAATAAATTCAAAGGAAAAACAATAAAACATACCGCGATCTACTGTATATAGCCAACGTTACTGATTCGTATTAGAGACGGAGCGTCACGTCCATAAACACGACGATGCATTTTCATACATTAACGTTTAGTTGCATTTTATTATTTGTTAAAAATTTAAAGAGAGAATAACAGCCTCAGACATAAGGCAGCGCACTACAAGTTGAATAAGTGATTGGAAATCAGATGTAAAATTATTTACATATATCTCAGATCTGAGTTTATTAAAAAAGGTTTAAATACGGTACTTCAAATTTAAGTTTTGTAATTAACCTTCAAGACAAATAATTTTGAATAATATACAGGGTGTACCAATAAAAACTCCCAGGCTGGATATTTTGGTAATAGAGATATTTTAATTCTGTAAAAGCCAGTTCACAGAGCACTTAGAGAGCTTCAGTTTTAGATATACATTAATTTTAAATAGGTCAATATGTAGATGGCGCTGCGCTCAATATATTTTTTTTTTTTTTCGATGGGAGGATCTTTCTTATATGACGCATCTTGTAAAAAATGTATTTTTAAGCAATTTCGTTCTATAAACTAATTCGATAAATCTAGCCATTTTTGATATACTCAAAACAGTTTCATCTTGTTTTTCGGCATTAATCATTGAATTTTTAGAAAGTCATAAAACAGGTTGATTTTTATTCCAATTCAACACATTTTTTCCAATACAGACATCTGTCATGTGTCAATCCCCTCCCTTCCACTTCTCCAACCCCTTAATTTTAAATAAGGAATGTACCACGTACGGCACATCATTGAAAAGGTAATTTTATGGGGAAGTCAGAAATATGACTGTTTATTGCGATACTTTTAATTTTAGTGCCCTCTATCGGGTTAAAAAAACCTGTAACGTATTATAAAGTGTGACACTTCATTTGAAAGCTAATTTAATTACTAATTCAATGCACCACATAACAATAATATAAATATTTCCATATTGCACTTGCAACAAAATAAAGTTAGCAATAATGTTTAAAACAATGTATGACTAATTTTTAAACTATTGCAAATGCATTATGGAGGATATTTATAATAATGATTTGTGGATTTCCAAGACAGTGCTCATAATGTATATACAGGGCAATGGTAAAATATTTAGAGTCTGAAATAATGGTCGACAAGAGTCTCTAAAGTGGCTCCCAGTTAGGATTCGTACGACTCTCTTTTGAAGCCGAAAGATTCGTATTGCATTCGATGCGTTTCCCCATAGTATTATACCATAAGTGAGATAACTGTGAAATAGGAAATGATAAGCCATCAAAACAGTGTCCACGTTTGCACTTTTTTTTAAATTTCTAAGTAGGAATATTTGAGAACTTAGTTTTTTTGCTAACTTTTCAATGTGGGTGTCCCACTTTAGACCGCTGTCGAGTATTATTCCCAGAAGAGTGGCACAATTTGCGTTACCATGTTTCAGGTTAGTACTAAACATTAAAGATTTGGTTTTTTCCTTATTAAGATTTAATTTGCTTGTAGTAAACCATTCCCCAGCCTTAGCGACTGCCATTTTACTGACATTTTCAAGAGTGTCGATATCTCTATGAGCATTCAAAAGTTTAGTATCGTCTGCAAAGAGGAAGCAGGCATTAGGTTGAAGACAGTGAAATATGTCATTCACGTAAGTGATAAAAAGTAGTGCACCTAACACAGATCCTTGCGGAACTCCGTGCTGAACAGTAAGGGAATTTGATAACTGGCCATTTAAATAGACAGCTTGTTTCATGTTTGAACGATACGACTTAAAAAGATTAAGTGGTGTTCCTCTTATTCCATAAAAATCAAGTAGAAAACACAGTCAAATGCTTTCGAGAGATCGCACATTGTTATCAGGGTTGATTTACCCCCTCAAAACCATCTACTATCCCTTCCACGATGCTTCTTATAGCATTAACAGTACTACAGCCCTTTCTAAAGCCATATTGACATTTGTGGATAGTATTCATTTTGTCAAGAAACATGTTTAGGCGTTTTTTTTAAATAATTTCAAAAATCTTTCCAAATATTGGAATTATCGAGATAGAACGGTAATTTCCTGGTTGATTTACATCATTGTTTTTGTAAATTGGTATTACCTTACTTACTTTGAAACTGTCCGGAAACTGACCATCACAAATCGATTTATTAAATAAACTTTTCAACTGCTGACATGAAGAGCTTTTCAATGTTTTGATGGCTCACACTCTATAATACGTAGTAGTTTTTTTTCCCGCTAGAGGGCGATAAAATTTAAGTAACGCAATGTACAGAAATATGTCTGAATCCCCCATTAAATTACCTTTTCAATGATGTGCCATACATGGTACATTACCTATTGAAATTAAGGTGTTGGAGAAGTGCAAGGGAGAGGGTTGACACATGACAGATGTCTGTATTGTAAAAATATTTGTAATATGGAATAAAAATCGACCTGTTTTAGCATTTTCTTAAAATCCAATAATTAATCCTGAAAATCAGGATGAAACTGTTTTGAGTGACCCACTCTGTATATCAAAAATTGCTAGATTTATCGAATTAGTTCATAGAACAAAATCCGTTTAAAATTGCATTTTTTACAAGATGCGCTACACAAGAAAGATCCTCCCATCGAAAAATTATTGAGTTTAGCGCCATCTACATATTGACCTATGTAAAATCAATTTATAACTAAAACTGAAGTTCCCTTATGGCTCTGTGAACTGGCTCTTACAGAATTAAAATATCTCTATTACTTACCAAAATATCCGGCCTGGGAATTTTTATTAGTATTAATAAATAATTACGAATCTCAAACAATTTATTTTTATAATTTCAGTACTCCAATTGTACAAAAATACCCATATCGATGGTTTAGTGCACACATGTGCTAAGTAACATTTTGTTAATTAATTATTTCACAATTTAAGTTTAAAGGTTTGAAGCTATATCGCTCTGTTATTTCACATGAACCGTATCTATCAAATCCTTTCAATAGTTCTTCGTTGTTTCTGATTATGATAATAAAGTAAAATAAAAACAAATTATTTGTTCACATGTAAGTAGGTACATGCATGTAACACAATTTCTCCCAAAATTACATTTGTTAGTAACTTAATTATCAGTTCTGTCAAATACGTATATCCATTTTTTGGATTATTTATTTTTTGTTAGCTTTTAGCACAGCTAAAGTTATTGGTATTATTGGAGAAAGTCAGTAATAAATAAGTCTTTAGACATTTATTTATAAAAAAAATTGATTTCATAGAATAATTCTTTGAAAATAAATTAACAAATGTAAGGTAAATGGTCAATCACGAATCATACTAATTAAATAAAAAACAAGTACTAACGGAAATTTGAAGAATTGCAAAATTTGTGAAAACAAATTTAATTTTTCATAATAATTTAC